TTCTCTTTCATGAGTTTCTCTTCATTATTAGACGTCATGTTACACAGTACAGTGTTTGAACTGTACACTTTTAAACACTGATTTTCATGTTCAATATTTCCACATTCATATAGCTGATGGGCAGTTTCACCTTTATGGATGAGTTTGAAAGTTTTTTCATAACATCTTTAATGAAGTTTTTGTTCATGTCAAACTCGCGTGTTTTCATACTGGCGGATCCATCAAAGAGAAACACCAGATTGACTTCTCTCTTGGTGCATTCTGCAGAAACACCACAAGATACACAAACTCTGCTGTTACTTTAGCAATCAAATCAAATCCATATTTGTTAATTAAGTATACAACATAGAATCATGTCTTTAATCTTTAACTGATTTGTCAATAAATATACCTAAAAAATTAAATGAAACAAAGCAAGTCTGAGATTGTTAAACTGCATCAAGTCCTAGAAGTCTTGGTTTGTGTGTGAGACTCGTCAGAACTATTGAAGTCTGAAACTGTTAAACTTAAGTCTTGGTTCGTGTGAGAGACTCGTCAGACCTTGGTAAGCAGCGGTGAAGTTGGAGACGGCCTGTAAGCTGCTGCTGAACTGGTAGCAAACGCCGTTCAGATACGAGTTTCCATCACACTCATGAGGAAAATACGGACTGCAGCTCTGAGAAACACACACACATCGTTAGCATGTCACGAAGGAGTTTGGCCGTCAGATACAGTGAACTTACAGTGAGAGCAGCAGACGACACAGCAGCAGACATGCCGAAGAAGCGGACGCTCTCTGAACCTGTCAAACCCCAGCAGAGAGAGAGAGAGGGAGAGAGAGGAGTGTCATCAGCTCAGTATAAAGCAGTGAAAGTCCACAGCAGTCACTGATAGATGGGCTGTGAAGCTGATACCTGGCCGCTGCAGCCGTTTGCAGGACTGCAGAGCAGCTGTACATCTCCCCTGTTGAGTTTCCTTCTAATGGAGCTCCAACAATGATCCTGAGAAACACATCACACAATCAATCAGACACACACAAGAAAACACCTAGCAACCACACAGAACACCCTAGCAACCAGTGTGTGTCTGACTCACTGTTTCTGGTTTCCAAACTCAGTCTGATAAACGCTGTAACCAAAGAAATCTTCTGGCGTGCCGTTAAATCTCAGTGGATGTTCGGTGTCGATGTTGAAGGCCTCTGAAAGAGATGCTGGAGAAGCGAGAGAGACTGTTGAGATGTCAGGAGACGCTTGTGAGACTTTTCTAACCGATTCTTTCTGGTCTTGAGAATGTGGTGTGAGAAATATGGGAGATCTCTTTGTCTCGCTGTGACCTCTTTCAAGACTCCAGTACAGGAGCATTTTATCACGCAGAGGCTCTTTCCTTTTATTACATCCAGGTTTTTCACCTTTAATGGTCAGGACAGTAGAATGAGAGGCAGGAACCAGCAGGAGGAGAACAGGAGCAGGAAAGTACCTTCAGTCAAACTCAAACTCCTGCTCTCCGAGGAGCAGTTGAACCTCGATGTCAATACTTAGTGCTAGTTTTAAATGGTTACTAGTTTAAATTTCTCTTCAGTGCCAAGCACTGTATATAGTATGCAGCAGTCATGAACTGCACGGTGACACGAAGGTAGAGGATCCAAAGACGATATATTTAACGAAGGGGTAATCCACAATCATATACAGAGGTAATCAGTCCAGACAATAACAACAGGGCAAAAAACAGAGGCTAAAGTCTAATCCAAAAACAGGCAGAGTAACAGTGTTGCCAACTGCTTTCAATTGAAAGTAGCTAAAACTGGTAGCTAAATGTCACTAGATGACATCACAATGGCAAATTCACTGATCTACTGTATATAAAGATGAACGTAGATCAGTGGGCAAGATGAGAACTTAAATAAGGTTTGTCCAAGAAGCTGCTATATTTGTCCCTAAACTTTTGAATAAAGTCTCAATAGGGGCAGGGAAGTCGCTAAATCTAGCTACAAAGTAGCTAAATTGGCAACACTGCAGAGTAACAAGAGCAGAAACCAAGACATGGCAAAAACAAGGCTTAGAAACGCAGTTGACACTAGCAAGACTTAGCAATGAATGCCAGCGTGAACCGGGCTTATATAGGGTGAGCTAATGAGGCTAATGAGTGACACCTGTAGACTATCAGCGATGATGAAACAGGGCAAAGGATCATGGGGGATGTAGTCTTTGATGGAATGGCAAAAGTCTAGGGTGAAGTGCCCTCTGCTGGCCATCAAGGGCACTCCAGCTGGTGATAGTGACAGCACCACACCCCAGAGGAAAGAAAAATCTAAAGTGTGATCTCTTTAACATCTCAAATATTTCTCCTTGACAGAAATTAGGTTACTTATTATCAAACTGAGACTTTCGCTTGAGTCTCCTGTTTCTCACACTTGTCTCCTGAGACAAAACGTCTATCCCTCTCACGATGGTCTCCTTTAAAGCTTTAAGTGAGTGAGTGAGTGAGTGAGTGAGTGAGTGAAGTGACATGTGGCCAAGTATGGTGACCCATACTCGGAATTAGTGCTCTGCATTTATCCCATCCAAAGTGCACACACACACACAGCAGTGAAAACACACACACACCGTGAACACACACCCAGAGCAGTGGGCAGCCATTCTTTATGCTGCGGCGCCCGGGGAGCAGTTGGGGGTTCGGTGCCTTGCTCAAGGGCACCTCAGTTGTGGTATTGAAGGTGTAAGAGAGCGCTGTACATTCACTCCCCCCACCTACAATCCCTGCCGGCACGAGACTCGAACCCACAGCCTTTGGGTTACGAGTCCGACTCTCTAACCATTAGCCCATGACTTCCCTATATATATATCATTAGAAAATGCAGCTGAAAATGACAACATCATTAGTGCATACTGAGCTGCAGTGGTGATGTAGTTTCATCTTTTCCTTCACGCTGAAGCACAGTCTGTCCTGAACTCAGTAAATCAGTCTAATCACACATGATCTGACCTGAGCTGCTGCTGAGGCCTGGCTGCGTGTCTCTGCAGTGCGTCTGCGTCTGCGTCTGCGTCCAGTCCCTGATGCTGCTGAAGGTGTGTGAATGCGGCAGGCTGCGCTGCAGTGGTCTGGCTCGACTCAGACATGGCTGCGGCGGCGGTAACTGACCGTAGTCTTCATCCTCCTCCTCCTCCTCCTCGTCCAGGTGTGAATCGCTGTGCTGGCCGAACTGGAAGGAGAAGCTGGAGCTGCGGAGGCTCATAGAGGAGGAGGAAGAGGTGGAGGCGTAGTCCTGACGCAAACCTGACGGAGATACACCCGTCACTTTTATTATGGAGCACAAAACCAGTCATAAGGGTCAATTTTTTTAAATTGAGATTTATGCATCATCTGTAAGGTGATTAAATAATCTTTCCATTGATGTATGGTTTGTTAGGATCGGACAATATTTGGCTGAGATACAACTATTTGAAAATCTGGAATCTGAGGGTGCAAAAACATCTAAATACCGGTACGAGACTCGAACCCACAACCTTGGGTTACGGGTTACGGGACTCTCTAACTATTAGGTCACGACTTCCCTTAGAAGGCCACGACTTTTCTCCTACACTTTTCTCTCACATTTGTCTCCTCTGATATTGAGGTGATCTCAACAACTTTACAAAGTGTGCACCAAGTCAAATGTCTCAATATGAACTCAAACATTTCTATCATATAATATGTGTTAATAATCCAATTAGTCAAGGACTGAGTCATAAGGCATTTAATGTGACTTCAAGAATTCTGTGAGTCAGTTTTGATGAAGTCATCGGGTACATTACTGTTTCCAACAACAAATGATGTGCGCTATAACCTGTACAGCTCTATTCTCTTATTGTGCGTCAACAAGAGTAACATCATCTTTAATTCTGCATAATTTCACTCTTAATATAGCCTTAAACTCTGAATTTATGGATTGTTTTTACGTCATTTAGTACCTGACAAGTACTTGACTTGGTGCACACTTTGTAAAGTTGTTGAGATCTTTTCTAAAGCCTTAAAGGAGACAAATATGAGAGTCCCAGAGTCTTTAGTGTAGGAGAAAAGTCTGAGCACAGTGTGTGATGATGATGAGATCTCTTCTAAAGCTTTAAAGCAGACCATCGTGAGAGGGATAGACGTTTTGTCTCAGGAGACAAGTGTGAGAAACAGGAGACTTAAGCAAAAGTCTCAGTTTGATGATAAGTAACCTCATTTCTGTCTAGGAGAAATATTTGAGATGTTAAACAGATCTCACTTTTGATTTTTTTTCCTCTGAGGGAATAAGAAGAGTAGCGTTTTATTACACATTAACAGTGAGTTCGGTTTTGCAGATAGTGTTCATTGCACACAGTGAGGAGAACATGAGGGCATTTAGCTGTTGGAGAGGTTGATGGTTTGAGGAAAGAAACTGTTATTTTTGTCTGTTCTGGTTCTCAGGGTCGGCCGGATGGCAGCCGATCAAAGAGGAAAAGCCCTGGTTGTGAGGCAGCCCTTTTCTTATTCTGGGTGTGTTCAGTTCCTGAAGAGCAACAATACCCAGAAATCCTTTAGGGAACACATATTCGCTATTAATTAAGAGTTAATAATGAATGTGTGTTCAGTGTTCCCTAATCTAAAGCCTTAGCCAATACTCTTCTCAGCAGTCTGGGAGCATGAAGCATGTCACCATTGTTGAGATTCTGGAGCTTATGGTGTTGAAACACATCGCTATAGTCTCTAATATGAAATTAACCACATAGATTAGACTCTAGATGAGATCAGTAATCAGATCCCTGCATTTTCTCTTGCTGCTTTTGAGATAACAAACATAGTTACAACAGCTAGAGAAAACCTCAGAAAGTCAAGAGTCAAATTGCCCAACTAAAGCAAACACTTCTCACCATAATGATGACGTCAAACCAAACTATTACTTTCAAACAGACATCAACATCTACACCTCTGTTAATCTCAATAAGAACATTTGTAAATGTTTGACAGAAATAAAGTCAATCTGTTTTGTAAGTGAAGCTGGTAATGCTGTTTTTGGAGATATTTACTCTGGAGCTTGACATCAAACAAAGGTTGGGTTTTCACTTTCAAAGAAAATGTGACTTCTGAGCAATGTAAGTCCACATCTAGTGTGATGAGAAGCTTTATTAGAATGTTAGAGGATGATGTTCTAACAATGTTATCAATAAACATTTTTAGAATGTTTTTAGAGAATGTTATCTTACCTTTTAGCAGAACATTCTGGGAACTAAAATAAAACTTGCCTCTGAAAACATTACCAGGACATAGCATAATGTTCATTCTTAGAACAATAACATCCCTAGCTGGGCAGTCTGTCTCTACCTAGACATGTGCACAGACAGACATCAGCATCATTCATCTGCAGTCTGACATTAAACTAATGAAACAATCACAACCATCAACATGCTGCAACATCAAGAGAAAACAGCAGTGTGTGTGTGTGTGTGTGTGTGTGTGCGCGCAATTACTTCAACTAATGCAAATGTAGGAAAACAGTCTTCAAACACACACACATCTAAATGGACACAAATTGTTTTACATAAACTTCTCATGACTCAGACCAACATAAACACTACAAGGAACTTTGTACAATTACTTACTAATGGATGATTTGTATCTTATAAAGAAATCTCTCACCCCACATGAAGAGAATCCAGATGTGCGTCTCCATTCTGCTGCTGCTGGTCTGTATGTGCTGAGATTGCTCAGATTCCTCAGAGCTTCAGGTCAGTGCTTCGCCTCTGTAGGGAGTGTGTGTACTCCTTCTCTTTCGTTCTCTTTTTCTTTTTCTTTTTGAACTTGAAAAGCCTTTTAAAGATAACTTTTGAAAGCTTTTTTTAGCAGAATTATTAAAGTTGCATGCAGATCAGCTGAAATAATTTAAACTCATTATTATTTAATGTCTGTATTTATTTGATGAGTGAACATATAATAACTTGATGCAGTCACACAGTCATTATCATTTTGCAAAATAAAACTCATTCATGGTTATAGAAGACACCACGAATCACCCTATCAGGTTTATTGTTTACATATTAAACCACAATCAGAGGCTGTACTTTGTATTTTTGATCATGTAATGTGATGAAGTTTCTATGATGTCCATGATTGCCACAAACAGACAAGCACGAAAACACTCTGTGGGAACAAACAGCTGAAGAACTGGCGTTTCTGCAAAAGACTACGTCTGGATCAGATTCAGATCAGTGATCCTGGACAGCTGTGTGTTGCTGACCTAATGGACTGTTACTGACTCTGGAGTTTGGATTCCCCGGGGTTCTGCTCGCCTCTCTGGACTGCTTGCTGTTATATGGAATGTGAGTTTTGGATTGCCTGGTTTGATCTGTCTGCACCTCGCCTGACCCTCTCTCCTGTCTGACCCTGATTCTCGTCCTTCGGCTGCTGGATTTGGTTGCTGCTGAACTGGCCCAGACTCTGACTCTACATTCTCCCATCTCCTCCTGGTCCAGAACTGGTCTGGAGCCGTTTGCCTCGTACTGTGTTTATAATTTATTCAGCTTCAATAAATTGGAGTTAAGCATTCTTCTGCTTTTGGGTCCTTCTTTCCAGAGATCATTACAGAAATGTCATGTAGCTTTTCAGTTGCGAAACTACTTTATTGGTAAATTCTCGGGGCAGAGCACGTTTCTGTGTGTGAGCATGAGTATTTATCTGTACTGTATGTGTGTGTGTGTCTGTGAGTGTGTGTGTGTGTGTGTGTGTGTGTGTCTGTGAGTGAGTGTGTGTGTGTGTGTGTGAGAGTGTGTGTGAGAGTGAGTGTACGCGTTTTTGTGACAAATGAGTGCATAAATGTGTATAATGACAAAGGTATGACAGGTATTACAAGGAGAAGGTGTCTTTTCAGGACATTACCCCATGTCCCCAGAGAAAGCATACTTTCCGTAGATAATATATATATATTAGGGGTGGGGGATAAAATCGATACAGCATAGTATCGCGATATTTTCTGCGGCAATACTGTATCGATACACAGACTCCAAGTATCAATCTTTTATTATACTATTTGGTAGAATAATAAAATCTATTTCTTTACAATCCACTAGATGGTGGTGTTGAGTTTTTTTCTGGTGAGGTCAGCGGGGTCACCTTCAGCATGCAGTGAGTTAGTAAAATAAAGAGGGCGGCATCGCGGAAAGTTATCAGTTGTAGCATCTGCGTAGGATCATGCAGGAGCGTTGGACAGTTTATGGCTTAAAAGACCCTTTTAGCCTTTTGACATTTGCATATAAATTACAGTTCTGGTCAGAGATGTTACGTTGTATAGGGGTGTGAATTGCCAAATGGTTCTTCGCCGTCAAAGAAGATTAGAACCAGCCCCACGGGCATCCTGCAATCCGAGTTCAAACACATTCCACAAAGAGCCTGTAAATGGCCAAACGAACACACACACACACACACACACCCAAACTAACACACACACACACATAAAGACATTTCTTTATTTTGGACTATAATTAATCAGTTATAATTGTATCTGGTATATGCATGTGGTGTGTACATTCCCTTGTTGGATTAGATGAGTTACCACTCGTTATTTGTATTAGTTAAAGCCATAAAACACTTATATTCAGGTGTATGTATGTATCTTTGGTTTAATCTACTGTCCGCGTTTACATCGGATGTATGGACTTACTTCGGATTTGTAAACAAGGAGGGGATGCAAGTAGGGATGCACCGAAAATATAGGCTACATATAATAATAATAATATATATATGGCGCGCCGCGTCGTGACCCGCCCGGCACTCTCCTCGTCACTGTGCGGTGTGACGCTCCGCTCAGTATGCCGATCTATGAATGTGTGTTCCGCTCGTGTACCGCTCATGCTCACCGGAAAAGCAAAGTCTGCTCAAATAACGCGCTGACAGGAGATTTCTATGCAGTATAGGCCTACTTGTACCGGTTAGCTGTGCTGTAACATGCTGTAGGCTAGTTCAGCTGCACTGGGCAACGCTGCTAAAATAATGCTACCTTCAGTGACGCTATGCTCTGCTCATATGCTCTGATAATAATAGCTTTGTAGGACTATACATTATTTGGATAATTAGTTAAAAAACAAACAAACAACAACTTACATCTGATTCTGTTACATAGAAGTGAATAAAAATAATATATTGATATTTAATATTAAGGTAACACTTTTCAATAAGGTTCCATTAGTTAATGTTAGTTAATGTATTAACTATCATGAACGAACAATGAACAAAACATTTATTACAGTATTTATTCATCTTTCTTAACTAATGAACCTTATTGTAAAGTGTTACCAATATTAATATAAATTCTGTCCAGTTTTGTTGTTACTTTCAGTACGCAAATGTGTTGTTATTTTCTTGGCTTGTGTATTTTTTTAATTCAGTATCATTAAAATTGAGATAAATTTAAAAAGTCTTACAAAATTACTTTATATCATTTAATCAAATAATAAATAATCATTACAAAGCATTTTCGGTTTCAGTTTTCGGCCAAGTATTTTCATTTTGGTGCATCCCTAGATGTAAGACTACAAGTTTTATTTAATTTAAATTTAACAATAATTTACTTTCAAATGCTCCAATTGCTGATGGGTCTGCTGTTTCTTTTTAGTTAAAACGGATGTTGTCAAAGTTTTCCTTGGGGACATAATTTGAAGTTGGAAAAAGGTAATAAATTGCAATATATCGCAGAATATCGCAATATATTTAAAAATCGCAATAATATTGTATCGTGACACAAGTATCGTGATAATATCGGATCGCGAGGCCTCTGGTGATTCCCACCCCTAATATACATATATATATATATTAGGGGTGTAACGGTTCAACTTACTCACGGTTCGGTTTGTATCACGGTTTTAGAGTCACGGTTCGGTGCGGTTCTGTATGTGCTATGTTTAGGGAAAAAACTATATTGTCAAATAAAAAGAAAGAAAATAAGAACAAATAATCTAACTACAAGCAACAGCACAAATAAATAAACAGTGTAAAAATATACAAATAAAAAAACAGTGCTTTTCAGTTTTTTTAGGTAGGTCTAACATAGTTTTTAGGTACAGAAATTGAATAAATCAAAAGTAAAATAACATTGCATATTTGACTGTATAAATTAAAGATGAATCCTTATTAAAGTTACAAAAGTTATTCAATCAAGAGCAGTGAGAGATTTCCGTGTTGTTGCTGTCTGATTAACATTAAGAAAGTGCTGTCACTTTAAGAGAACGCACTGATCCAGTGCACTGATACTGTACGTTCAGCCGGCTATGTCTGCTAGGATACTCACCAAGACAGGCGTTTTGACATAATTTGTGTGTGAATTTGTCCATTCAAACACAATACTTCACAGAGAGCTTAAAGGGGTCATATGATGCGATTTCAAGTGTTCCTTTCTCTTTGGAGTGTTATAAGCTCTTGGTGCATAAAGAAGATCTGTAAAGTTGCAAAGACTAAAGTCTCAAATCCAAAGAGATATTCTTTATAAAAGTTAAGAGTCAGCCACACCTACCTAAAACGCCTCGTTCTAACACGCCCCCACATGTCTACATCACTATGTGGGAAGATTTGCATAACGCCGCCCAAATGTTCACGCAAAGAAAGAAGGTGTAACTTTTATTCTCGCTGTAGTATTGTTGCTGCCGCCGCCATGTCGTGAAGACGCTGTGTGTTTCGTTGTGAAGGCGAAACTACTTTGTTTGATCTTCCAAAAGAGGACACGTTTTTTATATTAAAAGAATTTGCCACTGATGATTCAAACGTGAGTTTTGGGCAGTGTAGAGTAGGGCTTGTTGTTTGTCATTTCTCTGATCACAAATGCAGATATGGTTTTATGTTTACGCGGCGCAATGCAACACAATGTGTAAAAAGACAGTATAAGTCATTATAATCCGTAATTATGTCCTGCAAATACACAAAATAATGTTTTTTTAGCAGCATCATATGACCCCTTTAATATATGCGTGCGTTCTGAGACGCGGGTTCACGCCCCTCGGATGAGCAACCACACAGATCTTCTCACTGCGCATGCGAGTTCACGTCTTCTGGCTCTTTAATATTTAAACTGGCCAGGCTTAAATGAGTTTAGTTTAAACACAGATAGCGACTTGTGCTGTTCAGGTCTCACCTGCGCTATCAACACGTGATGACGGCATAAACGACAGTTATTCCAGCACACAGCACTCACATTGATTAAAGAGGGACTGGTTTGTCCACGTATTGTTTCTCTCTCTCATCGCTCTTGCTGTAATGTATTGGGAAGCCAGAATTTGTATCCATCAACAGAAACATGCATTAGCCGAACTCTAACAAACCATATTACAGATGCATTGTCAGATTTAAGTTGATTTTTTACGAGAACCGTTGCACCCCTAATATATATAATAAATGGTGGAAATTTGGATACATGTTTAGATATTATCAATGACTAATTTTTGTCTTTATCTGTTTATTTTTTGTTACTGTTTTGTTGTTGTTGTTGTTTGAAACGTTGATTTAAAAGCAGGGTTCCTCACATCTTGCCCTGTAGGGCCACTACGCTGCAGAGTTTAGCTCCATCCCTGATCAAACTCACCTACCTGTGATTTTCTAATAATCCTGAAGACAGTGTGTTGTGTTCTCACACAAGTGTTGTTTGATAATGCATTGAGTTAGTGTTCAGTGATGCATCGAGTTTGATTGTGCTGAAAGCATTCTGTCATGCCTGACCAATGTAGGTGTTTGTTTACTGGGGTCTGGAACAGAGAGGTTCACAGCAACAAACACAACACATTGATTAGCATGCTCAGGTGTGTTTGATTAGGGTTAGAGATAAACTCTGCAGGAAAGTGGATCTCGTGGGCCAGATCTGAGGATCCTTTATTTAAAGTGTCTGTTTTTTTCATTATTATTTCAGTCAAACCTATAAAAACCTTTGTTACCACAAACTACATAAAAAGATTGATCAGTCACATAAAGGTAATCAGAATCCAGCTACTTATTCCTTTGTTACTCATTGACGTGTGAACGTCCCCTTTAAATGACACAACGCTCCTCTATGTGTCTGACGCAACGCTCCCATTAAGCGCTGTTAGAAGTTAATTAATTAATTCAGCATTTCAACACTTCTGTAAGGAAGCGGTTTAATAAAGGATGTATTGATCTTGTGAATTACCGAATTTTACTATACCAATATTTTTTAATTGGCTGTTAA